GGCCTGTGCTCATGACTTTTTTATTGTACATCAGCCCCTTATTCAATATCCGCCCCCCTTCGGTAACGGTAGTACCCACCTCCTCAAGTCCAGAATGCCTTGTTAGCCTCGACAAAGTCCTTGAACGTACGCGGCTCCCTACCTAGCACCGACTTAACGACGTCGTTGGTGCGGGCCTCCGCGCCGTTCTTGATCGCTGTTTCCATCGCCGCCAGGGCCGGTGCGAACTCCGCGGGGACGCCGAAGGATTGGAAATGCGCCGCGAGCTCTGCCTCGGTGAACTCGTGGTGAGTGACCTTGCGTCCCAGGACCGAGGTGAATATCTCGGCTAGCTATGTGGAAGAGGCTGGTGAGCACATAGTCTAGGGCCGATGCGAGAGCAAACCGAACAAGGGTGATGGTGTTAGGGGTAAAGGGGTAGGTAAACTTACGTCGTTATATGTCAGTAATTCCGGACCTAGGATCAGAAAATCTCTATTAGGAGGCTGAGGGGATGTCAGCGCATGCACGCCGACCGCGCCGATGTCCTCGCAAGAGATCCAAGGGACGAGACCCGACCCCATCCCGGAGTAAATCTCGCCCTTCTCTTTAATCGACTGGCGAGGCCCTTGTAAGAAGTTTTCTAGGTGAAGGCAAAGTGTCAGCGACGAGCTTCGCAAAATGGGCTCCTGATCATTTACCATGAAACCAAGTCGGCCTCAGCACAGCCCAGCCAACCTTCCCCTCGTGGCCGAGCTCTCTTAGATACCGATGCGCCTGTCCGAACAGCGGGCCACCCTCCTCAATCGAGCTAGCGCTCAGCAGCACGAAGCGGGACGTGCCCTTGGCTCGCGCCAAATCGATGAATGCCTTCATCTTCTCTGGCTCATCCGGCGTGGACTGTCCGATGAGGAGAACAGCTTGAATAGGGGTCGCGAACAAAGGCTCCCATGTCGACTTGTCGTCCCAGTCAAACTTGACGCCCGTGAGGCCGGCGGGTGCTTTGCCGGAACGAGAGGCCACAAGAGTGGGGATGCCGGTGGCCTGCATTAGTGGCGCGGTTCGGCTTCCTACTTTGCCTGTGCCACCCAGTAGGAGGACTGCGCCGGGTTGGGTGGTTGATGAAGACATGTTTTCTTCCGAGCGGGGTCTGTTAGGGGATATTGCTCGGTGATAAGCTACAAATTGTAGGGAAGATTTTGTGAAATACACTGAAAAGCACCTTAGATCCTGTCTTATACAGTTGCAGCTACATTGCTCATTTGTCAGCCATGCTATTTATGTTGGTGACACGACCATCTGATGTAGAATTCAAGATTAGGTAGCCAATCGGATTCTAAGACCCTTCTAAATTCCGTGACTCGATCAATGATCCAGAGTGAATAGGTTGCGCCGTTCCCGCTTCTGTCACGGAGTTTAGACCCGGAGATTAGCAGGTCTACGTTACTTATGGTCAACCATTCCGGAGTTTACTCTAATGCCAGCAAAGACGGATAGAAATGTGTTTTCCATTGAGGCATGTCCTAAAGTACCTAGATTTATTGCATGAGAATATAAGAAAAAAACACCTCTTTTATCTATTCACGTGTCAACGTAGTGGTCGTATATAATGAGGCTTCATCCTGTTGCAAGAAATAGAGCAAGCGCTTCCAAATTAACACGTTTAAGAAAGCCAGAGAAACTCTAACAATGGCCGCCTCGTACGACATCCAAACTTACCTACTAGACAGGGCTAATGTCCACGATACTGTGAGCCGACTTGTAAGTAACAGCAGCTAGGTTGGTTTCGGCCATGCCAATGACTAACAAATCACTCCCTTGCCAGACTCTGTACTTCGACTTAGAATCATTTGAAGGCCTCATCAAAGATGTCTACGCCCCACAAGTAGTCATCGACTACACGTCCTTGTTCGGTGGGCAGCCACTGGAGACGACCAACAAGGAGTGGGCTGAGAGTATGAAACCGATGATGAAGCCATTCGACTCGACGCAGCACATAGTCACGTAGGCTTTTCTCTCCCAACACAAAGTTATCACGGTTGCCTATCCGAAACTAATTCCGATTCCATAGGGGCCTGGTGATCGAGCTTCCGCAGCCTGTAAAGGGAGTTTCTAGGCCGGATAAGTGCACCGTCACTGCACAAGTTACAGCTCATATGGTTCGCCGAGCGGCCAGGGGTGGGCCCATGATGCACAATGGAGTGAGCATTTTCCTATCATCTTGATATAGAATTAGCAGCGGTCTGAATCAGGTAATGGCTAACCGCAACGTCAAAATCTAGGGTCGATATGTTCTTGACCTTGTGCGAATCCCGGAGCTAGAGCAGAAGGGGGAGAATCCGTGGAGGGTCAGTAAACAGGTCACCGTGCTAGCTTGGGAAGATGGAAGTCCGGATGTCATGACCGCGGTGGCGTCTATCGGGCACTAGACTATCCCCAAAGACACGCAAAGCATATTCGAGAGTGAAAACTAAAGGAAGATTGCTCTGGCAGGTTTTCAAGTGGGCAACCCCTAGTAAATATTATGATTTCAGAAATCAAATACGAGAAGAGCCAACAATCCTGTTTTCACCATAGAGCTTCAGATCATATCTTGATTGTTAAGTTTTAGCTCAAAGTTCTCGTAGCAAACTTACCTTGCCATATATGAGTGACTAGAGTTTAACGTAGTTTATTGAGAAGGCATTATAATATCAAATCTATGTCAATATCTTAGGGTATAAAATATTTAGAAACATTTATAAATTAGGTAAGTCGATAGCTTGCTATTACGTCTATCCGTTTCCAATACAAATGGGAGTCCTCGGGCAAAACAGCTGATCAAAAAAAACACAAATTATAGGAAATCTACGATATTTCCAGTTGCTATTGAACCTCTGTTTTAGACTTATCATCTTACTTACAGGAGTCGAGACCTTCGGTATCCTAACCTGCAACAAGGTCTGCATGCTAAATTTCGACATTGGAACGATGCGTGTGGCTGGAATCATCTGAAGTATCAGGCCTCTAGATACAATTTATTGTAATCGCACCTGATCGATATAATTTTTGTCAGAGGATGGAGAACAAGACAGTTGAAAAAGACGAAGGACCAAGGACCAAATGAGGACGAAGCAGACGGAGTAAGGTGAACCTGGCCCTCGTCATCATCCCTATAGTCCGATCTCAGTACTCACACGCCTTGACTCGGTTTTTTTTTCGATCCTCACAGTGCTCAATAATCCACATCTCTCCTTCACTAGATAATTCGCACATTATAGGTCACCCACCTAAGGTATATATGTACAGTACTATTTACCATAATCGATATTTATTGTCATATCTACCTCAGGAAACTACGATCGCACCGTGCAGTAGTTAAAACACAATGGCTTTCAAGCTAGAGGGTACTCCCTATGATTTTATATTTATAACTCTACCTCCCTACTCTTCTCTTTGCCATATTCCTCCATCCTGACACACATTTCCAAACGTCCAATACACAAAGATCTTCTACCAGAGACCACAAGACTTTTATCTTGTCATCTTCAAGCACTTGTTCCTTCTTATCAACCACCCAACTCCTAACAATTCAAAAAACACCGCCACCTAGTTATCAAATCGCCCTATATAGTCTATCGATCTATTACATACCGCCGAAGCACTCAGGAGTCCAGAAGGAATACGGCGAAACAAACCAAAAAGAAATCAACGAGCACGCCACCGAGGATGATGTCTTCCAACATATCTGACACGCAGAGCACCAAGGAGATCAAGCAATCCCGCTTTCTCAACCTTCCTGCAGAGCTACGCAACATGATCTACAAGATGGCTCTCAGCAATGGCAAGCATTGGAGTCTTGTCTCTCCTCCTCTAGCTATGACCAATCGACAGATCCGGGAAGAGTGTCTCCCTATTTTTTACTCGGAGAACAAATTTGTCTTGCTTCTCGGATATGAAGAGTCGTATTCTCGCATGTGGGATACATTCAAGGAGGGGATGAAATATATCCAGAAGCTCCGCATTTGTGCCAGAGTGAAGCCGAATATCAACGAAGACAACGAGATCGACGCGGAAGAAATGGGCGAGGCCAACCCCAGCGAGTTCTATTTCCACTTCAGCCTCAAGCTAAGCCAAAAGGACAGCAAGCGACGCTTGATCGAGAAGTCGCTAGTCAACGTCCAAGATTTCGATGGCAGGTTCGGCCAAGCTCCCATTGCCAACACTGGAGGCACGCATTACAGAGATTTCGTCAATAACTTCATCACAGCGATGCAGGTGGCCTGCGGCGAGGATTACCTCCCTTTCCTTATCATATCTGAAGATATACATGATCTAATGTGCGCTTTTCCCACAATTGCAAAATTATTCAACCCCGAAAAACTGGGTTTCCATCTCGAGGTCTCAGCCCGAGGTTTCTTTTAGACCACAAGGATCATTCAAACCACTTCGACACTAAGACATATCGATAATCCTACATATCTTTCGACTTTGCCGTACTCTAAAAACTACTTCAAGCCAACGAAAATGATAACCCCGGGTTTAGAAGTCGCTCACTCGATATCTCGCTATACTAGAATAGTTTCTTTTCTTTTCGTTAATACAAGTCAATTCAAATTTAAGACCCGAGATCTGTAATATAGGTACTAGGTTGACCATTTTCCTCTTCGTGACATTTGTCTGCATCATGCTTACCTATATCTAAACGAAATTTAATTTCTCAATCTCTCCATGCATAGATGATCACTCATGTTCCTCAATTAAAGTCTAGAGTCTTTACAGTTATCATTGCGTCTTGTGAACAAGTTTGGTATTCGTGGCCGACATCCAAATACAGATCTGAGACCTAGTAGGGCGATATTGCCTCTAGTCGCGCCTAGTGGATGTGCACAGTGAAAAATAGACAGTTATGTACCTGTTTAATGTACGAAGCTATGTTTGTCCCTGATCACCTCATTCAACAAGCCTACCACTCTTGGGAATGGGTTTAGACAAGCCAGTCATAGGTGAAAAGGTATAAAAAAGGGAAAATATAAAATATTTGCATCAGCCGTGAATTGAACACGGGGCTCATCGACGACAGCGATGAGTTTTACCATTAAACTACCGATGCCTTTACTTCCCGGGCTCGTCGTATTGAAAAGTGAGCAATCCAATCATATCAACCATTACATAGCTCTTGAAGCTATTGCGCTTTGCCAAGCTTTAGGGGGTATGTATCTTAGAATAGAGACGAGCAATATATGTCCATCATAGCTACTGCCAACGGAGAAAGCATTCTTGGGAACATGGCTCAAACGATTTCTGATAAAACCAGTCAGCTATAACGTTTTAAAAATCAATACAGCTAAATAATTGAAACGGTGCTATGTAACGAAAAACATTTTCCATGATGTGGAAAGTTGGATTCGGGGTTGTGTCTTGAGGCATAAAAATTTCTCGGAACATAAATTTATTTATGGGTCCACAGACACTATTAGCGCCGTATGGCAACCACAAAACTGACCATAGACAAAGGGAGAAAAGGAAAAATAATTCTCGATGGAATAGGTATCATGTTCTCTAGCATGAAGAATCGAAAAAAGAAAATGATGATCAGAGTGGGACTCGAACCCACGCGGATTGCTCCACTGCGAAATTGAAGATTCAATGTTCAAGTAAACCTGAACGCAGCGCCATAACCACTCGGCCATCTGACCTCTTTTGATTGATGATAGCAGGGTTGTACCTACCCTCTATAAGCTTTAGCATTACCCACCTCTACATCAGTGCAACCTAATTGGTTGAGAATTATCGTAGCGTATTTCTAGGTGTCATGTCGTCAATATCGACAGCTACCTCTCATTCAACCAGCTTCATTTCATCCGCATCTCGTTTAACTAAATTGTCTGAAAGGCGAATGATAAAATATGCTCTAGACTAACTGTACATATAGGTATCTACCTAGTGAGGATCCTAGATTCATCCTGATCTCAATGATCAAACGTTCAAACACGCTGCCAATTCTTAGATGTCGATGACCTGTTATCCCGCCTCCTCATTCGGAGAATCACCCATTATCTAGAGCATAGGAAGAAGCCATATCATGACCTTTGAGATGCACCGAGCCGGAGTTCCAAGCTGCTTTACCAAACAAAGAAGAAATCGACTATTCAATTATTGATTGCGGGTTTTGAGAGACATATATCTATCATTACGGTTTCAATTGATCCCATCTGATTAGCCCTTAAATTCGCAAACACATATCTTGCGACCAATTTCAGCTTCTCGCCAACGTCCAGGTCTGGTCACTTGTCAGCCTGTTCAGCGAAATGGCGCTGAAGAGGAGGCCCAGTCCCAGGCTAGTCAGCAATCCGTTCATCAAAAAGAGAAATCTCGAATGGATTTTAGAGCCATCAGGCTCAACACGCGACGGCGGTGAGAGCAGCAGTTCCGAAGATGAAGATGTGCATGAACAAGAGCCGCGCCGAAAGGAGACAATGCCAGAGGCGCCCGCAATTGAAGCGGGTAAGGTTAAGATCGACGACCATCTGAGCTACTTCAGTGGGCATCTAGCAAAGGCGACGCCCTCGCCTTTTCCACCAGGCATGCCCAAATTATCCATCGAAGACTATCGCAGTCTATATGAGACGAACTCGGGTAGCCGAAACGGCGCACATTTCATCGTGCATCAGCATGATCATCCCATTGCTGGTACGCATTACGATCTCCGGCTGCAGATCAACGAGACGAGCAGCGCATCGTGGGCCATCATGTATGGCCTACCAGGCGATCCGAACAGTCAGCGTCTGAATCGAAATGCCACAGAGACGAGGATTCACTGCCTATGGGTAAGTCTCCCCAACACCGCATTGCGCCGTGCCGTTAACTAACACCATCTGCCCGCGTAGAATCACCTCATAGAAACCGCATCAGCCTCGACCGGCTCGCTCCTGATCTGGGACACGGGGACGTACACTGTCCTCCCGTCGCGTGAGAGCAGCAGGCAAGGAGACTCAGATTCGCAGTCCGAATCGGGAGATAACTCATCGCCTGGCCTCACGGAGCAGGACAAGCTCCACCGTGCGTTCCAGGCGCGGAAGATCCGCATCCGGCTCCACGGCACGCGCCTGCCGCACAACTACGTGCTGAACCTTCGCCTGACCAAAGCCGAGGATATGGCGGGCCACGCTAAGAGCGCGCGCGCGCCTACGAGACGGCGGCGGCGGGGAGGTCCTGCACGGGGAAGGGGCGCGGCGAGAGGGAGGGGAAAGGGGAAGGCTGTGGATCCTGCGACGAGCTCGGATGAGGAGTCGGATGCAGATGCTAAGGATCACGACGACGACGAGGAAATTGTAAACGCGCCAGCTGAAGCAGACCAGGAAGGCGTCTCAGCTATGGAGCGGGAGATCCGGGAGCTCGAGGACGAGGACGTGCGCCGGACGAACGCGTACACAGGCGCGACTAATTCGATCGGCAGCGTGCACCAGCGGCGGTGGTACTTGTCCCTTGACAGGGTTGCGTGCGGGTTCGTGAAGCGCCGCAAAGCCGGAAAGGTGGTCTGGGAGCCCGATGACCCTAATAACGCTGCCAAGGTGGGAGAAAGTTCAGATGGCCGACTTACGTTCCCATTTTACGTCCGTGGAGCTGAAGCTGAAAGAAGCGTCGTGACAGGACGGCTCGGCGCTGATGTCCTAAGAGACGAGGGTGTTGAGGGGTATGTAGGACGGAAGGGCTGGCGACCCGTCTTGAATTAAGAGCATCCAAGTTAGAAACATCATCAGAACATAAAGATGAGGAAGGCATATTTCCTATTCTAGTGGCACTTGTAGTGAGTTACTCTAACTCATGAGAGATTGTAACATTGATGAGTTGCTCGAAAATCACATAAATTGGTACGCATGGTTGACCATAAAAGGTGTGTTTTATTCACATTCTTGCTATGAAGATGTGACTCCGCATATCTCCTCGAGATGTTCACCTAACTACCTCCTAGTAGGCATTGCGACTCAATCAAACGTCAGAAGTTACTTTCCAGGCCCCTTTCCCTTCTTCTTTCCACTAGCGTTTCCAGTAGGTCGATTCATGGGCGAGTAAGAAGTCGCTGCTGAATGCAAATAGGTGTTGTTGATAAAGCTAGAAGCTGTATTGCTGGGTGGGTTTGAGGCGGTGCTGCGGCCCTGGCTACCACTCGAGGAGCTCTTGGTCTTGGACTGTTTGTTGCCCATCATTGCCGATTGACTGCGAAATCTTTATGTTAGCCGTGATTTGTAGAGTAGTGTGTAGTTGACTGGACGAGTAGCCTACCTTAGTCGAAGTTAAGTAACTCGTAGTGTTATGTGCTTTCTTGAAGATCGCGAGATGTTGGTCGATTGTTGCTTTCTTTGAGAAAAAAGTTAGATATCGAGTACTGTTGTTGAGAGCCATGGTGGAAAAGAAATTTGAATGTGGTATGGTCCTCACTTTATATAGTAAATGAAGCAGGTGGTTTCTGCTATAGTGAAGAGATATTCCTCAGGTAGAAAATTGGTGATTCACTTCATCCCCTACAGTGCTTAAGTGTACGATGTTCATATCCCAAGCTGGATGTATTGTCTCCGCAAGACACTGTGAGGAGCTACTGTTTAGTAAACCGATTCACCTTGGAATTTCTCTTGACGCGGCATTAATGTGTGCTAATCAAAAACTCATCCACTTCTTCGTGTATTTGAGTGGGCAAATGTAAGCCACAGTCCCAAGTCCTCATCTGAAGCTAAAGCTTGTTGCTTCAATAGAGTTAAGCATCAGTCGTCTAGCACATTGTCCAAATAGACTGTCAGGCATAGAATGCCTCACACTGTCCGTGCTAACACGCGGACAAGTAAATAAGCTTATGACTTTGGCACTGCGTGAACCTTCTAAGCATTCATCGTATCCTTATGTTATCAGACTACTGAGATCGGACTAGCTCCTCATTTACATCGTGAGTTGGTGCGAATAGAAACTGTGTCCCTCATGTCAGGTAATTAAGCCATAGAGCAAGAGGTTCTAGCCATCTACTCGTCTGGTGAGTCGTATCATGACTGATACGTTAGGTATCTAGATATCTGACGGCAAACCCAGCTTTAGCGTAGTAGACAGAATATCCTTCTCACCTATTTTACCAGGAAAACTGGACCCCCCTCCCGAGAAGAAAACAGTGCATCTCATCCGGTCTGTCCGTTTAGAAAGGCCCTCGCTTGCCTCAGGACGGTACATGCCTCTTTTTTCGTGCCGAGAATCGGATGCAACAGGAAGAAGTCATGCGGCAAGTCGATTGAGGTATTGAATTGGATCTTGTTATTTCTGACACCCGCTATCTGTGCCGCGAAGGTGCTTATGGACTCGTAGACTCTCTCCAAACCGCCGGAATCGATGAAAAGGGGTGTCTCGAGCTGGAACGGGTGGTAAAAAGTCCTGGACTGCAACAGGAAACGAGTTCTTCTCCGAGGCCAATCGGTACTGCATATACAGTACATTGGTGGCCCCGAAATGCTCGGTAGCCACTCCCGACACGGTCTCGGCATTTTTCTCAGGGTCCCAGCCCAGAACAAATGCGCCGCCGCCCGCGTAAACGATCATCCTACGGTTTGTATCCGCGCCACCCGGGATGATAGGCGCTGGATGCCACGCGGCTCCCACAGGGGCGGGCTTCATAGCCGCGGCTGGGGTGTTTAGCACGCCTCGAACGAGCGATGGCGACGCCCAGGCTGAGCTTGTAGCTCCATTGTGGGACAACACGTAAGGGGGTGATTGTGTAGCTGAGCGAGAGGAACAGCAGGTGGGTGAGGTTGATGGTCCAAAAACCCACAATGTAGAGGGCCTTGAAAGGCTGAGATGACCAAGGGGAAGAAGCCATCGTGTGCGAGATATGTGTCAAAGTGTCAAGCTGGTGCGAGCCAAGCAGAGGACAGAAACAAGGAGAGGATAAGTCTAGGAAATAGTAGAAGTGCTTATACCAATTGAGGGATTTCATTGTCTGCGTCTAGCTAGTGTATTCTATAATACTGAACGACTTTGCTGTCTTCATTGAGCTACGTTAAGGTGAGGAGAGGGAAGAAAAGATAGGGAGGCACAACGAAGGAGATGAGGCTCAAAGTTACCCATTACTAGTTGTCATGTACCGGATCCCCCTGGTTCCTAACCCGCCCTTTGCCCCCCCATTTATAATATTCAACACAATAACCCTGGTAGAACCCCGAATTTTCCAGATCACATGGTCGTATACGATGGAACAGGTGTTTGTGAAGCATTGTATTAGGATGGGATTTTACTCTATGGAGAATAGTGACATTCCGAGCTAGATCTATAATTTCGTACCGAGTTTGCACCAAATTATTAGTGTTGACAGCTTAGGAAGCTCTATACTCTTAGAGGACCAACCTATCGTGTATATTAGACTTGGAAACACACCTTAAAAGGTAAGTATGGACTTACCTTTACGGAAAACCCATATTGTTATTGGTATTTTTTTCTTTTCCTTCACTACACTTTACCTTTCTTTACCTTGTTTAGATAATATGGCGATAAAAGGCAGTTTGCGATAGTTTTCACAATTTAGGAATTTAGGAAAAGTTTAGGATTATGTAATGTTCATTTTTGAACCACGTCCCTTCAAAGTTCAACGAACCATACGCCTTAGAAAGAATTAAACTTTGATTTCCGAAAGTCAATTGACCGGTCATTTATTCTTGCTGGTTAT